TCGAGGATCCAGGCACGGGAGACTGAGGCGGTATGGTTTATCTGTGATGCAAAATCCCAAGAGCCTCCTCCTGGCTTTCCAATGTCCCATCTCTCTCCATCCAGCTGTGGACAAAGTCCAGCGTGTCTTCAGCACGGCCAAAGCAAAGGCGTTTCTGCTCCACAGCCCACTGGGGCCTGAGAGGCCTTCCGTGGGCTCCGGGGGGCCCCTAGGCTCCCGCGGTCCTGTGCGCCCAGGCGGGAGAGAACAGGAATGAACGGGGCAAGTGTGGGTCATGAGCGCGAGACAGAGAAACAAGGGGAGCTTCTTTGTTCACCTGGGATTGTGTATTGTCCGGCTTGGGAGGAACCAGGTGCTTTTTCAAAATAACCCATCAACTTTCCAAACTTTTGCAGGTTTCTGATGATCCAGCGACCCCGTTCCCAGGTTAGCCTGACAGGTGTCTAGGGTCAAGCACCTACCCCTGCACCATTTTTACTTCATGGCACCTGTTCTATCTCCCCCTGCTCTCTGCTCCCACATACACAATCCAGTGCCGGAGGGAAGAAGGTGGGGGTGTTCAGCTATAGCTTCCTGGTGACGCAAAGAGGCCTCTGCCTCCCAGATGAATATGTTCAGCAATTTCTGACTTCCCTTACTCTCTTAATAGCTGGCTAACAATGGTAACACTATGATGTTCATACAGGGCAGTTTGTCATATAAGAAAATCATTTCTCAGTTACTATCTTCTAAGAAACATGTGTTCAGCCCCACCTGGAACCTGTGTTTCTTCTGGCTCCCTGTTCTAGTATAGATTTCTCTGCTACCTATGTCCTTGTTTCTACGAGGTACTTGTATCTCCTCTCTCCAATAAAATTATATTCTTTGCAGAAGAGGTCATGTTCTTGTATTTCCTACATGTACGCACCCCATGTCCTTCTTCCTGCCTCCCTGCCCAACCTCCACCTTGTTGTTCCTGCTTGATGCTAGAATGCAGGAGATGCAGTTACTGAATTAGCATCAGTCAGAAAATCAAAGTTCCTAAGCCTACACTTCAGTCCTATGCTGGACACTAGAGAAGACACATCATGATATAAGCATAAGATGCCATCCAAAGCCTCTCCGTAGGGAAACTCTGTTTGGCTATAGAGAAATAAAACCAGAGAGACCTGGTTATGTATGACAGAATGGAAGACACCAGAACAAGTAAATATAAAAGATCTGTTAAAATCACACACACACACACACACACACACACACACACACGCGCGCGCGCAGAAAAGAGTACTTGGAGTTTAAAATAAAAAAACTTGCAATGAGGAGTTCATAGCATATGTCGAAGTAAAACATATAACACTCATACAGAGGGTGGTGGTTGGAACTACGTTGTGAGAAGGTTTGTAAATTTTTCATGAAGTAAAGACTATATTTTGAGGCTAGGTTTCCATAAATTAAAGACGTATATTATAATATCTAAAGTAAGCGCTAAGAGACATAATTAAAAAGTCAACAGAAAAGACAAAATAGAATACAAAAAATTATTTGATTTAATCAAAAGGCATAAAAACATTAAGAGAGAAATAAAGAGCAAATATGACAAACGGAAATCAGCACCAAGATAGATTCAAATGCAAACATTAATTAAATGTACATGCGATAATTAAATGCAAATAGATTAACACTCCAATTACAAGGTAAACAGTATCAGCTTGGATGAAAGGGAGGTGAACTATGTGTTGTTTGCAAGAACACAGTATCAAGATAAATGCACAGATCGGATGGGGCACACATGCCATACAAACCCTAAGCAAATTATAAACTGCTTCAGGGTATGTTCAACAAAAGATATACAGGATCTCAAAAACTATAAAACTCTGCTGAGTAAAATTAAAGACTATCTAAATAAATGAAAAGATATACTATCTTCATAGATGGAAGAGTCAATATTGTTTAGATGCTAGTTTTCACCAAACCAATGTATAGATTAAATGTAATTATAATCAATAATCCAGCAAAAAAAATTTTTTGTAGAAATTGAAAGCTAAGTATAAAATTCATTTAGACAAATAAAAGAGTGGAAACAGTCAAAATAATCTAGAAAAAGAACAACAAAGGTGAAGGACGTATTCTTCCTCACTTTAAAATTTATCATTTGTTTTGTTTTGGTATTAATTGGTGAAAAGGATCAATAGAGGAATGAGAGAGAATAGAAAGACCAGAAGAATCCCCACACACATCACAGTTAACTAATTTCCGATAAGGGCATTAAAGTAATCTATCTGAACCAAAACAATTTTATATCACATAAATAAATAAATAAACCATAGCCTCTCTCAAAACATATACAAAAATCACTTCAGTATTGGTCATTGAGCTAAATGTAAAGCTTAATATTTTAAAACTTCCATAAGGAGACATAGTAGAATATATTTATAAGCTTTGAGTAGGCCATAATGTTTTAAAGATGATATAGTATGCACTTAATATAAAAGAAAAAGAAAGATCTTCCTGTTGGGCAAGGGAAAACAGGGAGATTGGAGCTAGGAGGGGCCCTCTGAGACCAGTTCTGGAGACGGAAGCTCCGGACCTTGAACCTTGGAAGGTCGCTTTGGTAGCTGTCCTGTCCCAAACACGAGGCTGGGCTAGGGCCTCACTTAGATGCATTTGTGAAATGTGGTTCCCAAACGGGCTGACCTTCAAAAACACCTGCGGAACGTGGGCAAAAGCAGATTCTTAGGATTAGACCACTGAATCAGTATTTTGGGGTGAGGAACAGACAACTATACAAAAATAAGGTTTGCCACATGTTTCTAATGATCATTTCAGTCTGGGAATCACTGGAAGGATTTCACGGGAGGGCTAATGCTTGCTGCCCACTTTGGGGGCCATGACGGGTGAATTCAAGTGAACAATTATCAGCAGACCTTCAGGCACACATCTTTCCCTACACTGTCCCCCCAAAACCATCAATCATGAAAGATTAGGTTGCATTTTATTTCCCCTCTGTCTCCTAGCCTTCAAAGAGGAAATGTAGACATGACAACAAGTAAAGAGAGAAAAAAAAAAATGTCATGGGATGAAAAAACAATGAAAAACAACAATGAAAGAGATGTTAAGTGGTTGTGCAGAAATGTGAGCATGAAGTGCAGAACTCACTGCAAAGGTCAAACAAGAATTTAAATCAGATCTACACAAGTGGAAACCTAAAGACAGATGTGTCTAATTTTGTATTATATTTTGACCCAGCTTAATTATATCTATTTGACCCGGTTCAATTATATTCCATCACTGACTTCAAAAAGAATATTCAACACTCAAAGCGGAGGTGCCAAATTCATTTAAGCTATTTCTACATGTTGTTCAGCCTTCGTTCCTCCCTCCACTGCTTACTCCTTAACTCTTTGCAACCCAGCCTCTGCACTCGAAGAAATAAATCTTAAATCTTTTCTCCCAGTGACTACCAGGAGTGGGACAGCTCAGGACCCAACTCATCATCCCATTCTAAGCCAGTCCTTCCTGACCACGCCACAGCATTTGAATCCATTTACACTCCCTTTTTCTTGAACAGCTGTGTTCTCCTGGGTCCAGCCTGTTCTGTTCCATTGCTTCACGTTCAGCATTTGTCACTAAGTCTTATTCAGTGATCAATGCTCCATGTTCAACATGACCTAAGTTCTGGGTCACAAAACTGAGTGGGACCCAGATTCAGCCATGAAGAATCTCAATTTAGTATGATATCTTTCTTTCTCTACAATGTAGCCTCTTTCCTGGATCCTCTAATTAATCAACCCCCCTTTAAGCATAAACTCACCTTAAGTTCCCTCCTGCTCAGATCTTGTCTGCTTTCTAGTTTTCCAGCAGTGATTCTCAGCTGTTTGGTTGGGTTCTCAACCAAACACAACCAAACCCAGCCAAACCCAGCCAAACACAACCAAACAAGAACAAGAACAACAGCAGCAGCAAAATGAGTTAAATCAGAGGTGAGGTGTCTTTCATTGAATATAATCTAGATTATCTTTTTCAGAATACATGAGTTTTGGGATCTCTTTTCCTGATTTTCCAGTAGCTATTTTAGACCAGCAGAGATTGTGAAAAGATCTATCTAAATTTACCTGTTGGTTCACTGCCCCTTGAAATCTAGCATTCATCTAGAAAATGTCTGTTAGGAAGTTTAATCCATACGTAAGGGAGTTTCTACTTATTTTCAATATAGATAAAATACTTTAAAAATGGAAAGTTTAAAGCAGGTTAAAGTCTGCAAAAGATGGTGAATACTGGCAAAAAAGACACTTACCAGTGACGGCGACCACTGTTACAGAATTGTAATTCAAAAAAAGAGGAGGACCACAGGAGAAAAGGGGGAAACATGAGCTTCGTCAATTAAACATGAATGTGTCACTCACTTGTAAATATTTTCAATCAAGAAAATAAACAAGATAAGGAAGAATCTCTGTGTTTATTTAGTCATGATTCATAAGCCATTTTATCTTAGGAAAATATTTAGAGTTTATGATAAAAGAAACATAACCTTTCAGATAAAAGCAGTGTATCTCAAAATCCTGAAATAGTGTTGTATTATGAAATAATACATAAGGAAGAGATAGGCCGACTAAAGAATAAATCACCTATAAGCCTTATTTCTTTCATGCCCGGTGATAATTTGCTTTACATTAATCTGTGGAAATTACTATGTATACTATTTTTCTCGGGAATATGACACAAATTCACAAAAATTATTAGAAAAAATACATGCTCATGATTTATGCTAAGCCTACAAAAGCCGATTGCTTCTAACATAAAAATAACCATGAACATATTTAAAAAGGTGTTCCATTTAGTTTCAGTTGTTGTTTTTTTAACAGAAAAAGAAGGAAGAAAAATGATCTTTGAAGACGCGGAAAGAATGCATAGTGACATTGAATGATTCAATGTCGTATAAAATTTTCATGTTATAATTTCCCTATCAGCAAGTTTTAAAATGGCAAGTTTTTATCATTATCTTGTAATTTTTAAAAACTTACTTTCAAAATCCAGAAAAAAATGTGGGTAGTTTTCAATTTCCCTGGTCAGGACCTTGAGCAGGTTTCCCATGCCAGCAAACCTAGGAAAAGCAACACAGAGCCGACTGTCATTAGCAGCATGAAAAATACACTTCTGAAGCATTGACTGCACTTGTCGAACTTGCATAAATACCACTATATCTTAACACCCTATAAAAAACATCTTCATACTGGGAGATGGGTAGTAACTTTCACTATTTCCATGAAAAGAGTCAGATGTTTCCGTCATAGCAGGCAGAGTTTAGGTACATTCTACAAAGTGTTTCTTTTCCCCCTTCACCTCACAGTTAATATTTCAGCTTTGCTTTGTTTCTGTTCCATTGATGTGGGAATATACCATGTCCATGGACAGGCACAACAGAGTGGGCATTATTAAAATATCTGTCCAGAAAGGTAAATTTCTTTAAATTCCTAAGAAAGGGTTTCGACAATACAGATGCACAACCCCAAGGACCCATTTTAGCCTCTGTAGGAAGAAGCCACGTGTCGCAGAAGCACGACATCTTTCCAGGCAAGTCAGAGCATTTCATAACTTGACATTTCAGGGGTAACAAGACTGAGTACTTTGTGAAATATAAAAATGAAAAGGTATGCTATCCCAAAGTGATTCTCAATGGAATTGCAGCCTCAGGCATTTGCAGAAATGAATCAAACCCACAGAAAAATACAAATGTGTTCTATATCTGCAATCTCAACCTAAAAAAAAAAAAAAAGAATAAGCGAATGTCATTATTATTATTATTTAAGTAGATAGCAAAATTTCTACTGCTCTCAGCTCTTAGACATTAAACTACCTTCTTCGGGAAGCCACCCCTTCATTCATTCAGCACATCTTTATGAACTCACAGTGCGATGTGGGGCTGTTTTGGCAAGGCTGATTCTTCACTCAGACACCTCGGCTTGCAAAGGATCAAGTTGAAAAAATACTGGGCTTTAAAAGAGAAGCAACTACAGGACTGCAATTTTCTAGGCACGTGGCTTCTGATAGTATTTATGCTGATACAGGAATTTTTTCTTTTAATGCCACTATAAGAAACATGTGGTGAGAAGAACACACTGAAAGATGACTTTGTGCATGAAAATATAAAACAAACAGCTCCCGTGGGTGCAGGAGGTGTAGTCTCCATAATCCTCCCCTGAGAAGACACTCATACACTTGCAGTTACCATCCATGGCCTAAGTCACTGACGCGAACTAGAAAAGAGACAATTTCGGGAGGCCTCCTTTCGACCCTAGCTGTTCCCTGCTAGCTCCGTCATCCAGGGCAAGCTACTTCACTCTCTACACCTCCGTCATCTCACCTGTAAAACAAGTGGCGAAATGTACTGTTTCATCAAGTCGTGAGGATTAAATATCAAATGCTTAGCACAGCACTTGTAGGAACTGCTCAAGAAACATTATGTGCTGTTCCTATTGATGATGACAACAAGCACCACCACCATCGTCATCCTCATGATCACAACAGCCTTCAAACAATTATTGAGGACTGTCCTACGAAAGACAGACTGTCCACATTGTATGCAGCTCCAGGGAAGAGGGAATCATGAGGAAGATCTTTAGTCAAGGTCATGAAACAACTTCTAACCATTAGAGTTGTCTGAATATTAAATTATTTGTCTTGTGAAATAGTGAACTTCTGCTCACCGGTGATGCTTCAGTAGAAATATGCTATATCAACCCTTTAAAATATGGTGAACATGAGCTATGTGTTGGGCAGGCGGCTGGACAGGTTATTTCTGAGCACCCGCCCATGAAATATATAAATGAAATATATAAATACTTGGGCACACACACACATACACACACACACAATACGGGAGGCAAACACCATGTTTCTCTCCCCAAAGAATCTTCTTCCAGGAAAGAATCTGCTTCCGACCTAACCAACAGTTCCAGTCTAGCCCTGGAGGCACTGCCTGTCGGGAGATGATCCAACGAGATAGAAGCAGCCCACCTTCCAGATACTATGCCTTAATGCAAGTTAAATGTTCTTAGTTTCCCTCCTTTTGTGCTATGAATGTGTCCCAAGAGGGCTGAGTGGATTTAGCATTCTCCTCAAAATCTGTCCTGTGCATGATTTTACTGTCAGAGAATCTAGGTGGGAAAATGTCACGCCTTTAAAATTAGTAACAGACTGAAAGGGTCACACGTGGAAATACACCCAAAGGTGAGCTGGCTATAGAATTCCATCTGCTCAAAGGTTATTTATGCTGGTTGGCTGATATGGTCACATATTTTGGAGCAAGTATTTTATATCCACCAAGGTCAGTTAAGAAACTCTCACTATTCTAGATGTTTGACATCAATGGCTGGGGGACGTTATGTAGCATTAGGGGTCCAGTCCAGGTGTATGAACCTAGAAAACATTCTTTTCAACACAAGTTCCTTGAATAAGTACAGAAACATTTCATCTCCTTCAAGGCAAAAGAGTTGATTCATTCTGTGTCCCTCCAAGGTGGACAAGAAGTCATGCAAGTATATTCTAATTTAAGATGTGCAAAGTGAGTTACCATCACACAGATGGTTACTGAGTAGAGATCATGGTTGTTTTTAATTGGACCCTGGGCTCCACTTGCAAAGACCCCTCATCCATGGGACTTCCACTGAGCCCCAGACATATTCCTTACGACAGAGACTCTAACCTTTTCAAACCGCTCTTCAGCACATGCAAAACACACTGCTATGCACCACACTGCCGGTGAGATGGCTTAGCTAATTCATACGAAGATTATCTTTTAATATTTTATCTTGCTCAAAAAAAGACTGAGAAGTTACACACCACTGGGATGCACATACTTATGTAATGAAAGGGGGGGAAGAGAAAAATAACAGAATAGGAAGATAAAGGTTGAGAGACAAGCAGCACATGACTTACAAGGGCTCCAGGCCATAAGGTCTTTGCAGTCACTGGAAACAGCTTATCAGTTCCTACCTGAGCTGCCGAGGGTCAAAGCAAAGGAGGAAAACTGGACTCTTTCAAGATTTGGTATTCAGAAAATACAACAAATGGATAACACAGAAGTAGAGCTTTTTATGAGCAAAACGAAAAGAAGAGGAAAAGATGATCATGGCTAAGAGATTACTGAGAAAAAGAGAAATCTCAGGGTAAGAGTAGACTTACACAGAGGAGGTCAAACAATAATATGTAGAGCATGCTTATTATTTAACATGAGTATGTTGTAGATAGAGCAAAGTTTAGGTTTACTTTACACACACACACACCTCCCTTGGCATCTCTGGAGGTCACTGTAAAGTGACATAGTTACTATGCTGCATGTAAGTGTTGTGACACGTGAATCCACTCCTGTGAGGAATGTCTGGCTGCGGCACAGCAAGGGAGAGTCCGAGGTCTTGGCTACCAGGTGAAGAGGCAGGGAAGGACTGACCAGTTGGATACGTACTCATGAAGGTTCTGCAAATACTACCCTTCAGGTAGCTATCATTATCTTCACATTTATTGGAAGGAAAAGAGGTTCAGATGGTTAAGCATATTTCTGAAGATGACAAGAGAATAAAGGATAGAGTCACATTTGACTTTGAGAGTCTGGAAACCCAAGGTCTATGTTCTTTTCCACACAGGAGGAGACCTGGTGCCCCAGACCCTTAGAAGGCCCCTGTGTGGGGACCTGAGAGTCCATGGTCTGTGGAAAGTGCACACAGGGTATCATATTATCGCATGTACATGCTCATTTCTCCGGGGAGAAAGTCTGCAGTGTCTATTAGACTCCACGTGGCCTGCTCCACACTAGCTCTGCTCGATGGCCCGCACAGGGAGGGACACGCTTCCTTAGGAACGCAGGGAAGGAGGAAACCACGTACAGAAGTTGGCTTAGAGAAGAAGTGAGCTGCCACCCAGGCCTGGAAGACGCTGGGAATCTGGACGGGCGCAGAGAAGCCTTCCAGCTGGGAGGAGTAGGACTGAGAAGGAAATGAAAGATACAAGTTGGGCGACTCGATACGTCTTCCAAAAACAGAAGGCTTATTCCTCAAGGTTCACTTACCGCAAGATCATTTTGAAACGGGTCCCTTCACATTATTTTCCAGGGAGTCTGGAAAGAGGGCGTTTCTCTGGTCCCCGTAGGAGGGCTAACAGCCCGTAAAGATGGCCCACAGGTCCCTGCCAAGGACAGCACTCATCCCCCGGGGGGACAATTTGGGATGTGCACATGGTGTTTTCTATGACTACTTTCTTGGCTCTGATCTCAAAACCACTTCCAAGGGAGTTGGCTGTAAGGCCCCTCAGTGGAAAACAACTACTCTCTTAAAGAAATAGTTCTCTGTGAATATTTCCCGTTCCAAAAAAGAGGAGAGAATTAAAGTTCACACACACGCACACACGTGTGCCCCCACACACAGTTTTTTCCTTTCTATTTTGAACTCTGTCTTTGTTTGGGAGAAAGAAATTGAATAATAGCATTAGTTGTATTCCCAACATAAAACCAAATACCATCAACCAAGGCTTGTGTTGAAAAGAGCTGACCATAGTTTTGAGGAAATGGGTCTGTTTTCTATAAACAGGACGTAATGTAGGACCCAGGTCCCCGCGCGGACACTGTGAGTCTGGTCTTTGCCTGCACACACTAGAATTTCAACACCCGGTTTTCGTGAATAGAGAACAGCATTAAAAAGAATTTTCTGCAACTAAGACTATTTGAATGGAGCATTCCTATGCCAATACCACCTTCTGTCAATACAGCACAGAAGGCGAGAGAGAAAAAAGAACGAAATAAAACAACAGCCCTACAGGGTTTTATTTTTCTAATATTTTTCTTAGGATCTAGGATAATAAATAGGCAATACCTCTATCAGAAGATATGGCTTTGTTAGCCTTTGATTGAGCCCCCGCCTCCCAGGATCCACAATGGTTCGCATCCCTGGTGCAAAGACTTTAAGAAAACAAAGATTCAGAGTCTCTGTTCATAACTCAGTGTTTGGGGGATTAAGAAGTCCTGGTTGATCCAAATGTTTTTTGGCAACAGAGTCATCATATAAACCACAGACCACTCATGGTTATGAAAATGACGTGTTTATGGAACATCAC